ATAATATGTAAATATCAAGAATATTTAATTTATATTAAAGTTATATAGTTATGTAATATGTTATACAAAATATTGATATATAGTATAGCTACAATATTTTATTCAAGTTGAATTCACAATAATACTCGTGACATTTAAGGATATTTGTTTTTTTTTCCCCAATACTTTATAATGGAATAATAAAATTATGTGGGATAATATTTAAAATTCGGAATTATTTGCATATATAAGATATAGATACGAAAAATAAGTAATGGGCATTATTAACCTAAGGTGAATTCCAAATTGTTGAATTATTGTTATATTTTGTTTTTTTTTTTTTTGAATAAAACTTTTATTCTTTTGACATTTTATTTATCTATATAAGAAATGTATAAATTTTCTATATACATTAAATTGCTTCAAGAGTGTTACATGTTAGAAATATGAAAGTCATAGAACTAACAAAATTGTGTTTTGAAATTATTTTAAATATTAATAAGTTAAATTGAAGTAAAGGTATTGTCACTAAAATTTCAAGATTTTAGTGATTTAATCAACACAACTTATTCGGATAAATTAATATACATTAAAATGATGTACTTGTAAAATTTTTGAGTTAAACTATCATTCGCTTAGACTAAATAGTGGAGACACTTCATGCCCCTGTGAGAAGGATGGGGAGACTTCAGTAATCTTTTCAGAGAAATGTGATGCACTCGTCCGTAGAAAAAGGGAAATACTTGACTCTCACAAGTTACTTGAGCTCATCAGGACAGTGCGTCTCGTTACCCCATTTTTACACACCTAGAAATCTACAAAAAATCATCAGATTTCATTTTATAATTAATTCAATTCAAAACCTTGCTAGCACTGTCACTATATCAATCAATCAATAAATTTACGAATAGACATTGATATAAATGCATAGTATATTAAAAAATATTTTGTAATTAAATTCCAGCTGAATGAATAAATTGAATAACTTGGAAAAATAACTTAAAATTTAAAACAAAAAATATTCAGGAGACGTGTATTAAAAATTTTTTCAGCACATTGTTAATTACATTAACGTTTTCTACAATTATACTACAATTTATAATGCTACAGTTGTGTATGTCTGCTCATATAAATATAATTTTTTCCCAAAAATAACTTTTCGAAAGTAAATAAAATACGAAAAAAATGTGTATGTGTTCTAACCAAAACCACAATAAGGATGAGTTTCTTTTTCAATTTTTGTTCTACATATTCAAAACTTTTATTTGTTATATATGGTGACATTTTAAATATTTCACATTATTATTCGATTTTAAATTTATTTAATTTGTTTTTAAATATTCTACAATGAAATGAGAATTATTATTATAATATTTTGTGTTTATAAAATGGATAACATGATTTTATAACTATATACGTCGCATATCATCGGTATTTTTACATTACACGCGTATGTGTTATCTTCTTTTTTTTACATTTATTATAACATTTTACTTTTTCACTGACATGATTATATGTTTTTACTGTATATGATAAGTACATTGTTTTCATAATAAGCACATACATAGAATAATTTCATTCTAATGGTGACGCAAATATGTACATAAAATTTGAAAAATTTTGTTATAAAAAGAAAATTATTATGATAAGAAAATTTTTTGACTTTAAAACAAAAAAAAAGTACAATAATCGTTGTGTTTGTGACATAAATTTTAATGTTCATTTTCCTCCTCAACAAAAATTTCAACTCAAAACTTTAATATTTAAGAAGAATGTATATATAAAGATGAATATTTTTCAGATGAATAAATTCTTTTCGCATTAAAAACAATTTGAAAATTTTATATAAAAGGAAAATATGAGAAATTCTACTATATACATATATACAACAATTTAAGATTATTGTTTTTCAAATAAAATATAAAACTTTATTCTTTTCTATTTATTATTGAAAAAAATAATTTAATTTAAATTGATTTGAGGAAAAAAGATCCGTTCTCACACAAATACTTAGGAATTCTAGCATTCTGAAGTATGAAGTAATTATTATTGGCGTAAATACGGTAAAGTCTTAATTATTTTTAGAACAAAATAAGAGAAGCCGAATTATATAAACTGGGAATAGGGCAACACACCAGTATAAGCCTTGAATGCGTACCCTAAGTTCAAAGCCTTATTTTGAATTGAATTTCCTTTCAAGTAATCTTAATTGTGTTTCGACAAACAACAGTTTGCAATAATACTCTTAAAGATAAAAATAATTTTATTTTTTCTTTCAAATCTCTTGATTATTTAATTGTGAATTAAATATAAAATATTATTGAGTTTTATGTAAATAACCGATTAAATTTAAATTTTTTTTCACTCATTTTATTAACAATATCATTAAAATTTTTCAATAATTTATCCTTATAATAAAAAATTCTAAGAATCATTCATTATCTGTACAATTTATTAAATTTTATTAACATTATATGAATTACATGAATTATTCATGTTAACTGTTTACAGGGTTCAATATAATAAAATTCTTAATATTTGAAATTCTGAATATTTTATTATAATAAATATATGTATATATTTGAATTATGCTCACAATTTGAAATACATTAGAAAGATCTTGATGGAAATTAGCAAAATTATTTTCTTTAATGAATATTAACGAAAAATTTTTAAACAAATTATCTTAAAATTTATTGTTCATCCTAATTTTATGTTAAGTTGAATAATTTATATGATTTACATCAAAAGAGATTTAAGAGCTTGCCTTATTAAATTTAAATTATTATTTATGACATCAAAAATCAATCGATATTAGAAATGCTGTAGAAAAATATTGTAATTCAAAATTGACAAACTCAAATACTTTAATTGACTGAATGTATACGAAATCAAAATTCCACTATTAAGATATTTATTTAAGGATTCTAATAAAATAAATAAATCTGATAATTGTTTCAATTAATTTAAATTGAGATTAATTTCAATTAATGTGCAATTACTTTAAAAAATTTTAATCATATTTTTCATTTGTATATTATAATTAATTTATTCTATATAATTTTTTCGCGTAGGTACTCGTAGTTAAAATTCCATTACAATTAAAATTGAAAACTTTATTATAATAATCTCTTAAAATTATTAACAAATTCATTCTAAAATTAAATGTATACAATCAAATAATACTCACAAATTTCTTTTAATGAAGAAATTAAAATTAATTGAAAATAAATTTCCATAAGACGCGCTCTTTCTATACCAATTCAATGGAATCTACTAAATTTTTAAATAAGACATTTTCTATTAAAATTTTAAAATTTCAAAAAAACAACATGAGAAATATCAAAAACGCTTTTTTTTTTTAATTAAAAATTATAATTTAATTTAAAATTTAATTATATAAAGTCTCTTATATACTCTTGTACTTAATTTTTCAATTTATTTTAATAGATGTAAATTTTTTCTTAATTCAGAAACATTTTCAGGCATTGTTTAAAGTATTTAATTAATTTTCTACATTTAAAAAATTGATAATTAAAAATATTAAAATAATGTAGCAATTAACAGTACTAGACTGTATAGAAATATTAATTATTAAAAATAAGCATAGTACGGCAGTAGTTACTATGTAATTCGATATTCATGAAAAGATTTTCGTACTAGGAAAAAATGATAAGGTAGTACCAACCAATTTGTATAATACTACCTTTCCATTTCTGCAAATACGAAAATTGTTTCACGAAAATCGAATTACGTAGCAAAACCCGCTCATGAATATCTTGAGTTGCACATGGCAATAACACAGTTTCCGAGTGCAATTAAATTTTAAAATAATTTTTTTAAAATAGTTTTCGAAACGTCATTATTTCATCATCATAGAGCTCAAAATATATAAGTTTTTACATAAAATGTTAATTGTTATAATAGTACAATTGGTTACTCCAGATTTATATACAATGGTCTTGCAAAAACGAACTACAACTAAATTATTTCAAAGTTGCATGTAATTTTTCATATTTATGTAAGTACGGAAATCACAGAAAGCAAAATACGGCTTAATTTCTTCAAATTTTAAAATATAGATTTTCTTTTAATATTGTATTTTATTTAAATATATTTTCGAATAATTTTATATGTTAGTTGAAAATTTTAATAAAATAAAAACACAAATTATTTTCTAATTAAAAATATTTCTATAAAATAGATCGCCTTTAAGTTTCCTTTATTGTTAGTTAAATAAGAATATTATACCTACTTACTGTTATTATAATTCTGCATTTGTTGTTAATCGTTTATCCTATAAGTATGCAATATTTTTTTCTTAAATGTTGTTCACCTTAGAAATCTTAAAAAATGTTTAAATTTATTTTTTTAATGTTGATTGTTTGTGTTGTATAGAATTTAAATCTTGTGTTGTTTTCACATTTTTTTTGTTTTTTCCTTTTCTGAAAATAAAACAAAAAAATAGAATTTTAAAAAGCAATTTTAAATGTATTAGTAGGATTGGTATATAATATCAAAAAAAAAAGAAAAAAAAAAATATTTTTAAGAACAAATATTTTTGTTATCCTATTTTTTTTTTCCATTATTTTTTTAAAATGTACTTTAATAACAAATTGTATCCACCTCTATAATGTTGATATTTGAAAAAAAATTAATTTCTTATAAAAATTAATTATACGAAATCCTCAATTCCCTTGGTTTTTGTTTATGAACATAATATAGTTCTTTTTTTAAATAGAAGGTTTTTTTTCCATATTTAAATATAAATATCCGTACATATATAATTATATTTATTTTTAATTAAAATATTTTTAATATTGTATAAATTTTTTACTGTTATTTGATAATTAAATTATTTTTTGTTTTTTGTTTTTAAATTTTCATTTTAACTTTCACTTATGGCAAAAAAAATTTCGAACAAATGTTTCGAATATTTTGGGAATCAAAAAATCGTCTTCTTGTATAACATTTACAAAATATATATGAATGTATATATGAAAATCGAACAATATATATAGATGATGAACTGATAGGACTTGTGCAGGCAGCTGAAGCAAAAGCACCTGAAGATTTAACCGAAGAAGATAAAATGGCTTTATTAGGTCGACCAAAAATTGGTGAAGTTATTCGGGCGCAATTAAGAATTAAGGAAAGCAAAGAATTTAAGGTAATTTTTATTAAATTCGAATTTAAATTTAAATAATAAAAATTAACAAACCTTTAAAATTATTATTTTTTTTTATCCTTGTAAAAATTTTTATTTTTTTGCTTTTTTTTTTTTGTTTTGTGTTTAAATGATATGAAATAAAAAGAAGTAAGATAAAAACAAAAGAACAAAAAAAAAATTTTTTGGCTTATTCTCAGTAAAAAATTCCCGTACTTTTTTAACTTTTTATTTATTTTACTTTTCCGTTCAGTTCCCGTTAAATTTTATCATTTCATCAGAAAGGGTGATTCGATAATTATTGCCTTAAAAAATTTTGGTATTTACTACCAAAAATTTTGTGGGTACAAAAAATGGGTAAAATTTTCGTTCCGAAGTAGCTGCTTTCAAAACTCACATCCCCTAAGTACAGTGATTTTAACGAATTTTCAGGAAATTTTTATTTCTTTTTTTTTTTGAATGGGCTATTAAACAACTTGACATTCTGATTTTTGAAAAATTCAAATTGTTCCCCTTATTCTTTTTTTTTTTGTTTTCCTTACCCCGACAATTTAACATGAAATTTTTTGAAAATTCAAAACAAATTTTTAAAGAATTCTTTACCGTTTCTTAAGCTTTAATTTAAGCATTCAAATATTAAAAATTCTGTTAAACTTTTGAAGATACAGCGAAAAAACTATTCCAAAAACTTTAATTAAAGGTATAAACAAAATCTTCAAAATTGTTTATATTTTTCGTCTCTATCAATTATTAAAATTCACATTGTTTAATTGAATGTTGAAAATTATTAAAATTCAGTTGAAATTTTCAAGAACCCTTCAAATTTTGAAGATTAATCATGAATCACCCTGCAATATGCATACATATGCATATATATTATATACTTATGCTATTATACGTATATACTAAAAATTTAAATATCGTATTTTTTGCATAAAATTTCCGTATAACATTATCAATGATAACATTTTTGCAATGCATATAGTAATAAGGTATACTTAGATAAAAGAACTTTTATGCACTTCATACAAAGTAATTTTTAATTATTAACGAATAGTCGTTGTTACCTTACATACAAAAATTTTGCTTTACCAAATAGTATAACAAAATTTTAATTTCATATAACATAATATTTAAAATTACAAATTTCTTCATAGAAGCACATCATCGTTTTCCCAATATAAATTTACGTTCTTGAGAAATTCAGATATTCTTTACATTTCTTAAAAATTTATTAATAAATAATTCTATATATAATACCAGTTTTTGTAAAAATTGTACGTATAATAACACAAACGAATACATTACCACTCTTAAATGTTTTTTAACTCAATTTACGGAAAACACTCATCATAATCAATTTTAATTTGTTTATTAACGCCTGTTTTGTTTATTCTTATTCTGTATATTAAAATTTGTGTAATAATCATTATGGCCCATCATATACATATTTAGATAATAATAAATAAAATTAGTAAATAACAATTTCTTATTTATAAATAACTCTTATATAGTACACTCGAATCTAAAATAAAATGCAATCTAAAATGACCATATATTAAATATTTTGTAAAATGCAAACAATTGAAATTATGGTGCAAAACATAATTATTTAATGCCAGCATTTTTAAGCAAACACATTATTTAATAATAATGCACTATAAATTGAGTGATTACAAAACAAAAAATTTTATATTCAATATGAAAAAATTATTTTGTGTTAATTCCCAAACATATTTGGTGCATTTCGAATATTTATTTTACAATTTCTCCACAAAAGCATACACTGTAAAAAATTTTCATTGGATTTTACTACTCTTCCGGTAATAAATTCCGATTTTAGAGTAACAAGGATTTTAGTGCAAAAAAAATTGCACTATAAAAGTGTGTTATTCAGCGTGAATTTTTCAATTATAAAACGCGCTGACCAAGCATAAAATCTTTTAATTATATTAGTAACTACTTTAATTTTAGAAAAAATGCACATTTCTAGTTCGAAATTCCATTTTATAAAAGAAAAAAACCTACCCTTTTCTGCAATGCAAATTTATCCAGAAATAACAGAAAATTATAATTTGTGGAACGTATGTAAAACTATAATTTATTGTAATGTAAAATTTTTATAGTGCATACATACAATTTTTTTGATTAATAGATTAAATGCACCTTTATAAATTTTTGTAAAATATTACAGAACCAAAATAACTATATATATACATATATATATATATTTACTTGTATTCCATAATTTATACAATTCTTTTACACAATGAATAAATCATTATATTTGTAACCATCGTTTACTCATCAGAGTAAAATAAATAAAAATAAATTTTAATTGTAAAATAAATATTCATATAAATTTAAGTAAACACACAAATTTTATCAACCTGAATTTTATTTATTATAACATATTTGCATTCATACCTACACTGTATATAATAAAAATTAAATAATAAAATGTTCAAACAATAAAACATGAAAAAAATCCCATATATACCAATGTGAAATATAAGTAAGCACAAAAATTAAAGACTGAAAGAAACACTGATTTCAAACACATATTCACTCCTACTTTTCATATAGGTATGAAATTTTTTTATATAATATAGAAAACAACATCAAGGATTAAATAATATTTTTTTATTCTTTAGTTGGTTTTTTTTAAACAAGGACATTACACAATTAAATATACACAACTATTGTGTATTATAAATGAGAGAAAAAAAACAATTAATAACAATCAAGTGAATTCCTTCTACATAATGTGATACATACTCTCACACTGCTCATATATAATATATGTATGTATTTATTATTTTCCGTATTAAAGTTCAATTTACTCTTTATTTAATTTTATGAACAAAAATATATTTTTGGTTTCTAAAAACAAGCCACAAAGGAAAAACATATTGTTTTTTTTATATATATAATTTTAATAAAAACCTCTGAAATTTGTCAGATTCAGAGCCTAACGACGAAAAATAGTTTTATTCTCCGCATATACATACATATATACATAACAATATTTATACTTCTGTGTGCAGTAAAATTAATACGCAATAAATTTATATGCAATTTTAATTAATAATTCTGTGGAAATGAAATTGTAAAGGATGCAAACCAGAATTGAATAAACTTATATAAGTGAAGTAAAAGTATATAAATGAAATATGAATTTGAATTATATAAATATTAATATAAATAAATAATATAATTTCACATTTATATTAACCACACAGTTTTGGATGAATTGATAGTGTTATACAATAATTTTATTGCATTTGTGATTATATTTTAACTAGATTTGTACCTATTGAAATATGATTTTTGAACTTGTTACTTAAATTTTCATGTTGGTAACGATCACCTTTCGATTAACCGATAAATTAGATCCTTGAATATAATCATCTTAAAATTCATCTAATTTTATTTCACATTTTAAATGCAAGCAAAAAGTCATGCAAAACCAAAAGTTTCTACATGATTAAACACTAAAATTCTTTATATACCCATATCTCTGCCAATAATGCATAAAAATGTTAATTTTTTCCTCTCTTATTTCTCTGCAAAATTATTATTATTCTCATTACTTCAAATATTTAAAATGAATTCAGGATCTTATTATAACACTCTATCCAATAACATACTTTGATAAAAATATTTTGTACATGTCTATAAGTGTATTATACTCGTATAAAATCAAATATATTACCAAAATACTTCATCATATATTAGACCAAAATCAAGTCCTATATTAATTTATATAACACTTAATTATAATGCAAATGATTTCACATGTGCCTACATACTCTGCAATACAATCTGCAATAAGAAATCATTCAAATTTAACATAAAAAAATAAAATTTCTTTTCCTCTCATTTCCTGTCGAATACTCGTAATTTTGACATATAGAAATTATTTTTTTCATCTACTTACCTATATCCGTATTATATATTGTAAATACTTTTATCTATATATGTAAATTAGATATGAAGAAAAAGTAGCAATTTAAAATTTTCACTATTAATAATTTCATTATTTCCGGAAGAAAAAGAATAATTTCTTTTTTTTTGCACAATTTTAATATTCAAGAAACGGAAAGTAATAAAAAAAAAGTGAACATTTCAGAAAATTCAATTATTTACCTAAATAAATTTTATTTTCAAATTTTTTTTTTTCAAATAATTTTGAATAATAATAGAAAATTTTAAATGATTTCAGAATACTGTCGATAAATTAGTGCAAAGAGCGAATGCTTCGCTTCTTATTGGTACATCATCTTGGAAGGAACAATTTACGGAGGCACTAACAGTTAGTGCTGGTAAGATTATTGCTTATTTTTTTCTTAAATAAAATTATTCAATATTCTTGAGTAGCATTGAAGAACAAAATAATGTTCGAAACGGAGTATAACACCTACACATTTCCGTTTTAAGCGCACTCTTTTACAAATCACGACTGTTCAGCGATTTAAAGTTATTTTAATACCTTCAAAAGTTTGACTCATACAAATTGAAATAAATAATTCTATGGTTGCTACTTGCTTTTCATAATTACATATATACAAATTAAAATAATTTTTGATTTAATTAATAACAGTGAAAATTGAAAGCGCATTATTTATAAAAGTTCTTGAGTACAACTAAAAGAGTCTTCAACGAATATTTTGTATTGTTAATAAATATTTTTTATATATTAAATAATTTTTTTTTGTATACAGCTATATAGAGAATTTATAGAGAAATGGAATAATTTTTTTTTTTAATTTAATTGAATTTTCAAAAATTTTGAAATTTCCATGACGCAAAAATAATTTTAATAAAAATTTGCCGTTGTATTGAAGAACTTTTATACAATTTTAATTTTATGACAATAAACTTGTGTTTAGCAACTTATCTTTTAATGAGTTTAAACATTTTTAAATTGGAAAGTGCTTATGTTTTAATAAAAATTACTATTTTAAGTTTAATAGATAAATTTTAAAACTTTTAAATAAGAGTGCCAACTTCAACATTTTTATATTTTTCTTTAATTGTTTTTGGGATAACAGGTTTGCTATAAATATATAAATACAAAAGTAATGTTCTTATTACACTAATAATATTAACTTAATGGAAATTTCTATTTATATATGTTCTTGTGGTTGTATGTTTCAAATAGTAGATTGCATGTAGCAACTCAATGTAAACAAATATTTAGTAATCATGTGGGTTACAGTATAAAGCAATGTGAAAAACATTTCGTCGGCAATTTCTTCATACCTCTGTAGCTCAGTTGGTATAGAGTGTCCGCCTAAAAAGGAGTAGGTCACTAGTTCGAGTCCAGTCCGAGGAGAAAAATTTTTTTAATTTTTCTGCCTTTAACTCGTTCCTGCAGTTGTTTCAAGAAATTTCCATTAAGCTAATATTAGATATTTAAGATTATAAATAAATTGTATAAAAACTTAAAATATAAAAGAAAATTTTTTAAAACTCTAATTCATAATTATTCTAACCAATGGATCCATTTTAAATAACAAAACAAAATGATTTGAATTATTCACGTATTACGTAACGCAATTATCTCAATTTTTCTATCAAAATTTAATTTTTCCTGCAAAGGTAGAAATCATGACAAATTATTGAGACCGCTCGAATAATGCTCACACTTTAATTGTATTCAGTTACAATTCTATAAAATAATATATAATATACGTATATATATGAATATATTAAAGTAAATATTTGTTGTTGAGCTAAACAGTTTAAATGTTAAAATATTTAACTTTATTTTACAATTATTTTTAATCGTAATATTTTTTTCTTACTTCATTTTTTTAATTAAAAAAGGTGATGATGAAGACGAAGAAGGTGGTGAAGTAGAAGGAAAATCACCATCATGTGCAGATTATGTTATGCATTTTCTAACACTCTTTTGGAAATTAATGTTTGCATTCATCCCACCAACAGGTAATATTATTTTTTAATTAATACGATTAAGTTATTTAAATAATACTTTAAATAAAATTTCTTGCATTATGTAAGGTTGTATTAAATTAACACAAGCAATATTTAGGAAGAATTCTAGCAAAATTTAAGAGAAGCAGAATGAACAGTTTTTATTTTATTTGATAAGAGTGTGAAAAGTCTAGAAAAAATTTATTAATTTACTTAAGAATTTTAAATAATGATTATTTTTTTTAACTTAAATTTAATGTAAAAGAAATTCAATGCAATATGTACCTTAATTTTTGAATACAAAGTAATTTTATTTCTTTTTATACAATTACTTTGTAATCAAAAATTAATTAAAATCCCTAAAAGTATGCAAAATTATTTATTCCTTTGGTAACCAGCTATATTAGTTATTCTCTACAAAAAAAAAAACTAAAATATTTTATTTATTTTAATTTTCAATTAGGCACCGTATTTATATTTCCTCTAAAATTTGCCATCACTCACTGATGATGGAACCAAAACTGTATGTGCATATATTATGATTTAAAAAATAATGTAAAACTATGCTTGCATTACTATGTATTTAACTTTGAATTCGCCAATATTAAATTAAAAAAATAATAAAAACAAGTTTCCAAATCCATATGAAATGATTTTATAAAATATTAAAAAATTTTGTATAAAATATTTTTAATATCAAATTGATTATAGTCTAAAATCTAAATTTCACCTCTATAATTTAGTGTTCTAAGCTTCCAATATATTACGATACTAAATCTACATAATGTAACCTTTAAAACAATCAGATAAATTTGAAGAATCTGAATATACATATATATAATATGTATTCAAATATGTATATATAATTCAATAAAATCATGAAATAACTAATAAATAATTCATATTTTTAGTAGTAGTTATATGTTATGCACATAAGGAAATTTTTGTATACATATATGTAAATGTTAAAAGAATTCGTAAAGTAATAAAAGAATAAATTTACATAAATATTTTGTTATAGATCTTAAGGATAACATGACATCAATATGTTAAATTTTGTGTTCTAACGGTATTCGATTATTGAATATTTGTATATACATATACATATATGCCAAGGTCTATGAAAAAATTTTTTTGATGAAATAAAAAAAAAAATTATTTTACTCTTCACCATGTCATAACGTTCTTTTACATAAAATTTACTTAAATTTCCTTACAACAACAGGCTTAATTCGACGTATAACTTTATTTTATTATTCGAGTAGCATCTCACTTACTTTCCGGCTCACGTGAAAAATGATACGGCTCTTAAAACTATACTCAAAATTTTATTTCGTGTCTAGTTCTGTACGCTTCAGCTAAGAAAAGGTTTTAAATTAGAATTTCCAGAATTAGATCCCTCAAAAAATATTCC